GAATAGAGAAAACAATTGAATAGAATAGAATAGAAGAAGAAAAAGAAAAAGAAGAGAGAGAGAGAGAGAGAGAGAATATAAGAAAAAAAAGTACAATTTCTCGTTAAAATCGATAAATTAATTCTAAACGACGCCTCGATAGAGCTTTTTCGAAAAGGGATGATACACCGAAATCGTCCGTTTGACCACGGGATGGGTGTGAAACTTATCGCTAAACACCGGCATATGCACTATGCCGGTGCGTGAGTACCTTATACGCTAATCCACTTAATCGACTACCTGCTTGTATACCTCTTCGATGGAACAGAGAGAAAGATCGGAAAAAACGGAGAAGAAGAGCCACTAACACGTTCGAGGCCGAGGTGCGCGACACACCGATCACCGGAACTCAAAGAGGTGGCCACGTTACGGAAACAGGATCTTTTATACCCTGGAAATTATTGATTTTCATCGGTCCGCCAGGCCGGTGGCACGTGCGCAGGTCCTTGACGAACGGCGCACGAGCACCACTGCCACACGCGAAAAATAAAGGGAGGAGGGAAAAGAGAAAAATAAGGGATACTTTTTCGAGAAAGCCGCTCGTCCCCGATGGGGTCGTTTTCACGTGCCAACAACGTTACGACGGCCGATTTTATGAAGGACGATAAACCTAAGGCCGAAGAAATAGCGCAATTCGTCCCTAGTAATCGTGAGAGGGTTGTTATTGCTATTTAGATAATGCAACGATTTTTGGCTGACGGATCTGGGCTCTCGTTTTCAAGGTTTAACCTCGTGAAATTTTATGGGAACGTAATATTGGGATGTGTGCTACTTGAATGATGTAAAATAGCGCGTAAAAAAATGTATGCATCGCGCAAGGGGTGACTGAACGAATGAGAATTAAATAAAATGGAGAATGAAAAATAAAATCGTCGACGAATTATTCTTATTACACCAAGTTTGAATAAGATGTATAAAGAAATATCAAATTTATTGAACGCGTACGATTTGTCTTGTTCGTTGATATTTCCACTCGTAGATGGCAATGCGTAAAATTTCTAACGTACACGTGCACGTTTTAGGTTTGGCAATTTATTTGAAGTAATTTCTCGAATTCTTTTGATAAAATTTAGATTATGCTTATGTGGTTTAATTAAAACTTTCTAAGAAGTTTCATATTCGTAAAATTAACTTCATATAACGAATATATGTGTAATGTTTTATGAATAATAAAGCGAATGAAATTCTCGATAAAAGCATTTATGATTATACATTCTCTATAAGAAATTTCTGTTTATAAATTCCATGGAAATTTAATGAAGCAGTTACATACGATATTAGTGCCCTCTGACGGAGAACTATAAAAGTTATTTCATTATGGAACTGGGTCATCAGGCTTACCAATCTTTACTATATTTAATTTTTTATTAAATCTAATTTCCAAAAATTATTTGCGTAAAATTTATTTGGCTGTAAATAATTGATTTCTATAAATATAAATGAAAAATAAATTATTTTTAAAACACAATGTTATCAGATCCATTATTGGAATTGAATTTTTAAATTTAGAAATTTAGATCTAGGATCTTTTATTTATCAGTTCATGACGAAATATATAATTTTGTTTACATATTCTTAGTAGGTGACGTATGTTTTGCGTAGTTCACGATTAATAAATGGTAGCAATAACAATTATGAATATTAGTTTTTACATAAATGAAAGTTACGATGGTTAGACATAATTATATTAGAATGCAGAAATCACAGATTGATAATTTGACATGGTCATTTGAGTAAGTATTGCGTCTAACTTTTGCAATTTTATGAAATATCAAAAAAAAAAAAAGAAAAAGTTGAATTATATTTTTATATGTTTTTCAGTACAAATGAAAATATCAATTCTCACAATCCATGGGCAGAACTTGGCCAAAGATATGGTTTTATTGAAGATGACAGAATATTAAATTTAAATAATTTTGAATATCCTGAACTTGGTGATAGATATATCAAGAGTAAAAAATCAGTTATATCACGAGAAGTTTGTTTGTCAACATCTAACAATATACAGATTTTGTTACCCATGGAAGAAACAAGTATGGAACCAAAAAGATCAAAATTTTTAAGAAGATACAAGAAATCAAATAAAATTTGTATTAATCTTCAAGAGGCATTACAGGTAGTTATTATTGAATTTATTAACTTAAGATTGAATAATTATTTACAATAGTACATTGAATTGAATTATATTTATAATTTTATTTATAGAATACATTATATGCTAATAAAATGAACAAACAAGTTCCAAAATTAAGGATTAATCTTTACATGGGCAATCTTGGTTTCAATGTGCCAAGTAGATTGGATAAAAACAAATGTTCTGATCTCAGAAAAGTTAGAATTTCTATTTCTAAAGATAAAAAACCTTCGAAATTAAAGAGAATAATTCTTTTAAATCGTAATATGAAAGCACAGATTAATAATGAGAAAAGAGAAGAATTTGAACGTAAGAAAGTAGAAGCTATTTGTAGAGATGTTGATACTATTAATTTTAATGCTTTGAAAATTAGTGCAGAGCCAGAGATAGACTATGTTAGAAATATGTGGACAATGGCACTGTATGATAAAAATTATAGAAATATAAATGATATAAATATTTCTGACAACACTCTATCTCACAGACCGGATGTAATTGAAAGGATAAATGATCTTGGAATTCAAGGAATGCAATTGACAAATAGGCTAGTGAAAGGAAATAATAAAACAAATTTTTCTCATTTTATTACTGATATTATTGAAAATGATATTGTTAAACAGACCCTTTCTCTTCAAATTAACGATGATATTAAGCCAGAAGTTCAAAATAGTGCAGAAATAGATGATAAAAATTTTCTAAAATTTTCTCGTAATTTTAGAGAGTAAGTATTTTAATTTACCTATAAAGATAAACACTAAAGTATTTTATATTTTATATGACACTTAAATGCTATTGTGTGACATTGTAATATATGTTTGTATTCTTGACTTATTAATATTTGCATTATACACGCAATAAATAATATATATTACATTATCAAAATGTTTGTCAAGATTATAACCTTTCTATCCTATCCTAATTTTTATCTTAGAAGATGAAATTTATTTTATCTTTTAAAATTCATTTGATTTTTATTATGTCAAATGAAAATTAATTTTGTAAATTCGAATATCTTACAGATATTGTACTAATACGTTAACGAAAGGTTTGAACGATGCTCTCGAAGAATTCCTACAAGAAATCACAAGGCTTCAAAGAAGATTTCACGAGAAAAATCCAAATAAATCTAAATATAAACGGCGCTATTATTCTGGTTTGAAAGAAGTTCGTAAACATGTTGAATTGAAAAAGCTTAAACTCGTGATTATTGCTCCTGATATCGAAAAAGTTGAACTAGAAGGTAAATATATAAGATTTATAACGAAATGGAAAATGATTTTTTAATAAAAATCACGATTTTAGACGGATTAGACGATCAAATCGATAAATTACTGGATACGTGTAGGAAGCAAAATGTAATTTTTTGTTCGGATTGCGAAGAAGGAAATTAGGATATTATACTCACGGAAATGGATTCGTAGGATGTGTTGGCATTGCAAATTATGGTGGAATCGATGTAAGTAGCTTACAAACTTTCGAATCACAATACACAGAATCAATAAACACTTAACACACACTTGTTTTCAGCTACTTTTCAAGAACGTTTTGACAGAGCTTGTGATCGCGAGGAACGCGTTCAAAAAATTAAATGGCGCCATAGAAACGACTATCGATATATCGAAAGTGATCTCGGACGATCTCTTGCTTTCTGAAAATATTAATGCCCTTTTGAAAATTTTATCTCAAGATACACTAATAGAATGTGCATAAAAATATTTAAGGTTTTGTTTACATTCGTTTAGTTATAAATGTTAAATAATTAATATCGCTAATTGTCGTTTACGTTTGTATCTTATTTGTAATTTCATATTAAAATACAATTTAAATTTCAATTATTCGTAATGTTAAAATTTTATTTTATATTGAATTTTATTTATTATACCTACCACGTGTTAAGAGAAAGTATAGACAAGGAGAGCAAATAATGGAAAAAAGATAGAGATAGAGTAAAAATATTGAAATCAGCGCCATCTTCAGAGTGCCGCAAATGAAACTCGGAAAGAAAGGACAGAATATAGTGGAAAAAGGACAGAGATAAAATAAGAATCGATCCGTGGCGCCATCTCGTAGTTAACAACAGTATCAAAGATCAAAAGAAAACTCAAGAGATGGCGCTGCCCCTCAATTCCTCCAAATCTATCTTACCATCTTTGAAAAAGTACTTTTTATACTCGAGTGATGGCGCTGCCTCTTAATTCTTCTAAATCTATCTTACCATCTTTGAAGAAGTACTTTTTATACTCGAGAGATGGCGCTGTCGGTTAATTCTGATCCTATCTCCGTCCTTCTTCCACTATTCTCTATCCTTACTTTTCGAGTTTCATTTGCGGCACTCTGAAGATGGCGCTGATTTCAATATTTTTACCCTATCTCTGTCCTTCTCGCACTATTTACTCTCCTTGTCTATACCTGCTCCACAAAATTCATACGCTCAAGAGACAGCTCCGATATTTGATTAACTTTATCCTTTTTTTTGCTTAATCTATCGAATTAAAATCTTAATCAAAGTTCATTCTAATCCAATTTTTATACGTGACAAGTCTACTTTATCTATATACCCATTTTCATATATTTATATTTACGTTCTCCTACATCGTACGAGTCATATTATGATTCGTTTAAGCTACATTGAATTATCTTCTGCATCGCATATACTTACAACCCGTTCACTTTACTCGTCCAGTAAAGGTAACAACTCGAAAGATAAAACAGATTTTTACGATTTACGTAATTTCCATCGCAAATACTCAGGCTTATATTTTTTAACGCAATATCGGCCGATGTATCATACATAATTCGCATCAGGCGCCGCAATACACGGCCATCTCTAAAACCAAAGCCAACGCACCGATACATCTCGGTCAGACGCAGATATTTCGGTTAATTAGTGCCCCCGTATGCGTCGGATGCGCGATCGTAGGAGGATTAGTATCGATTCTCCATTAATTTTAATGAAAGATGCTAATCGATTCAGGTGTAAACGCTTTATCGCCCAACGGCAGTGATTCCAGGAATCTTTGGTATTCAGCTTCTTGCATGCGCCCCTCCATGTATACCGCGATATATCCTTAGGCGGCCTTGTTTCCCAGTCATAGTTCATTACGGCGAACCGAGACCCCGAATAATTAATTTCATTCGCGCGGGCAAAAAACCCTAAAACCGATTAATCTACCCTTCCTTACGAATATTACGAACGTCGTAACACTTTTAACATTATTTCTCAGCTCGTCATTCCACCAAAAAAAAAAAAAAGAAAAAAAACAAGAATTTCATAAAAACTTCCATATCGTTCCATCCGAAAAAAAAAAAAAAAAATCACCATTTCTTGGACAGCGCGAAAGATGATCAAGGAAAAAAAAAAAACGCTCGAGAGACGCGAAATATCCGGAATTCTTGATCGAATTCCACGCAGGTTCGAAAGAGTCCTACGAAACACGGGGGGAGGGGAAACGAGAAGGCAAAGGAGAAGGCCTGGGGCGAGGGGGAAGGGGGGAGAGCACGCAGCTGGAGTGCGGGCCGCAAAGATGCGGACGCAAGGAGGCAGAAGCAAGAAGGGGCCCCGCGAGAAGGCGGGAGAAGCTGGAATGGAGCTGGAAACGAGAGGCTGCGGGGGAAGAAGTGGATGGCAGCCGGTGTGTGTTGATGCAAGTGCGGTGACTGTACGTGCTGACTGGCGGAGTCAGTCAGTCAGTCAGTCAGTCGGCTCGGCACCGGCCGCGACGCACGATCGGCGTCCATTTTTCTTGCCTCTCCTCGCGTCGCGCGTACACATATCGTGTATATCACACACGCGCGCGCACGCACACACGTACCAGAGCGAGAGAGAACGCACGCTCGCACGGCTTCGACACGCAACTTCGCCTCTGTGTTTCTCCGCGCGCTCGCGCGCGCGCACGCCCGACCTCTTCTGTTCGGCCCAGTTTTTCCGCCTCGATTTTTCCTTCCTGTCGCGGGAGCCTGCCTCGAAAGCAGTCAGGGGGCCTGTGTGTCAGTGTGCCTCGTCGGATTACCGCCCAATTTCTGCCGGAATTTCGCCGAAACCAGAGAGTACCAGAGCCGAATCGATCAGGTGAGTTTAAGTCTCGTCGATTTTCCTTTCGAAGGAAAGAAATTTTCGATGATGCATCATTGTCGTTTTCTATACGATTTTTTCTTTATTTTTTTTTTTTTTTTTTTTAACGGTATTGGATTAATTGCGAGTTGAGATGAGTTGAGATCGCTGAATGACTGGAAATTATCGTGTACAACGATGATTTTATTAAATCAAATCATTATTCTTTCGCATATATTTCGATCGAGCAAGAATTTTGGAATTGTTGGAACACAGGGAGCTAATTACATAAATATTTCTCTCTCTTTCTCGTGATATATAATATAACGCTCGCGTTATATCTCGAATGACTCTGCACAGAAATATAATCGTACGACTTTTATAAATAGAATCGAATTACTTGGATCGTAATTAAAATATCGCATACTTCATTGTCATCGAAGTTCATAAGAATTCTTTTTTAGAATTATATCGAGCGAGCGAGCAATCCAAGTTCCGTCCAAGTTTCGTAGAACTCGTCTCGCTCACGCGAGAGATACCTCGAAACATAAATCGTTCAATTTCCCTCCTCCTCCCAAAAAAAGAAAAAACGAAGAATCTCCCCTCCTCGAATATTTCTCATGATTCACCTTATAGTTAACATTCGAGTTAACCGTCATCCGTCATCGTACACACACGACGCTTCACACTTAGACACTTACCACCGGTGTACGTAGTTCCAGCGATTGTATCTCATTCTACACGCGGCTTAGAAGAGGCAGATTGTTGGGAAGAAGGAGCGAGGTGAATTCCTCTGGAAAAGGAACGGTCTCCTCGATGACTCTCCTCGTTGTACTGTTGTTCACGCGTGCCCGGAGTACCTGCACGGAGACAGGCTGAATTATTTTCACGTCCCGTTAGGCGTCAACGATCGAAGGATCGATAATATGGCCGGTCGCCGCCCATCCATTCCCTGGATCCACCTCCGTTTTTTCTCTTCGAATTCGACGCGATCGCGAAAAAACCGCGGGAAAATCGGACGATTCGGTTTCGTTGGGACCGCGAGCGAGCGTGATAACGCGCGAAACCGCAATCCAATGGTTGGAAAAAGCGACGAATTTGGTAGGGAATCGAACAGAGGCCTCGAATCGAAACCATTTTACGGGCATTTTTTTTTTTTTTCGGTTCCTGAGAATCGTCGCATTTAACTTTTTTCGGGCGATTTGCGCAATTTGCGTCGCAAAATCGAGAAGCGACGTTCCTGCTTTTAATCTTTGCGTCAATAGTTGGGTGTTCACGACGCAGTTCGTTGTATCTCTCTTTGTGCAATTATCTGCATCTTGGCAGGGAATAATAAATGTAATGCAACGGCGAGATTCGATCTTTTGAAAATCTTTAGAAAAATATTTCGAGAGGAGGGGGGAATCCGTGTAATTCCCTCGTTGATTCAAATTAATCCAATAATTACTCGTATACCTGCGAGAATCTCTCGTACGGAAAGATCTCTGTAATTTTCCAACGATAAGACGCCGATCTTACAATCGTGCACGTGCATCCAACTGGTTTTAACAATTTTTTCAAGATAATTTCATAAAATCGTGCGAGCGTATAAGGGAAAAGCATTCAAAATCATCTTATCACCCGATACGCGTTATAATTTAATCGTGACCGGTAAAGAGTTCCGTTCCCCTTTTGCTCCACTTTAATTGCCCCCTTTCCGTATCGACATTCCTCTCCAACGATTATTCGAATCACCTTCGACCGCGAATTCCACGATCAAGAAGAAGCGAGCACGCGATTAACTCGAGCTCTACGCATCTGAAATTCTCCGCGTGTGTCATTTCCTTTTCCTCTGCCGCTACTAACGAGCCCCGCTAGGAACGCCTCGAACGCGCGAGAGAGATAACGCTTTCGTTTCGATTTCCAAGTGTCCGACTCCAGCAAGAGTCGGGGATACTCTCCCGATTATCGCGATCCTCGAAGAAGTGGCGGGCCCCGCTCCTTTGTGTATTCGAGATACAATCGGCTTGCGTGTGTCAGAATCGATGCAATTAACGGGACAAAGGGAGCACCGTTCTCGAGTCAGCTGCGTTATCGCTCGAAACACACCGTTTTTCCTTCGCCCGCCTTCTCCTCGATATACAGGGTGTCTCACCACAAATTGATTCTGTGATGCAAATTTGAAGAAGATGGAATATGGAATGGTTCGTTCCCGAATGTATACCTTTTTTTCTTTCGTGTTTGCCTTATCGGTGTACAGGGTGTCTTACTAAAAAGTGATTCTGTGATGCAAATTTGAAGAAGATGGAATAGAATGGTTTGTTCCCTTAGATTATCCCGATCGAAACGTGTACCTTTTTTCTTTCGTGTTCGCCTTATTGGTATACAGGGTGTCTTGCTAGAAAGGGATTCTGCATGCAAATAGAGAAGGTGAAAGTTTTTGGAATTTATCGATCGAAACACACCTTTTTTTTTCTTCGAGTGTATCTTATTGATATACAAGGTGTCTTATTACAAAGTGATTCTACATACAAATGTGGTAAGAAGATAGAATAGAAGTTACTCTCTTGAAATTATCGGTCGAAATACTTTTTTTCCTTCGTATATCTTATTGATATACAAAGTGTCTTATTAGAAAGTGATTCTGTATGTGCAAATGTGATAAGTGATTCTGAATTTATTCATTTGTGATTAAATCGTTAAATCACATCATTTTGAGACACCCTGTGTATATTATTGGTATATAATATATAAGCGCATTAACTACTGATTTTAAAGAAGAGGAGGCGAGGGCGTGCCTTAGAAGCGACGAAACTCGTGATCATTGGTGACTGCTCGGCATAGAGTTATTTTTAGCTCTGGAACGGCGTCATGACGTCGCATTCATGTCCAACCCATCGATTCTTACTAATGATTCGAGTTAATCTTTCGTGTGTAATTGAACAAATATCGAGTATCGAACGATCATCGATCATTTCTTTGTAATACTACTTCTTCCAAATTAAATTTTGACGATCGATCCTTGATCTCCAATACGATGATTGTCCGAATATTATATTTATTACATTCCTTCTTTGCAACACTTTTACAACAATTACATAAGATCGAAATATACATCTCTTTTTCACATCCTGCTTCAAGTTGATCCATCGAATTTATATTCGAACATTTTATTCAATTATAAAAACCGATTGTTGACCGATTATTAATTCATGTATCGATCGTTCCTTCACAACATCACAATTTCAATTAGGGAAAAAAAAAAAAAAAATCAAAACGCTCGTCCTCTAACGATAAATCCTTGATCTCAAGCAACGCTGACGTCTATTATAATTCCTCGTGATATTTCTCCGGACGATAAACACAAAACCTTCCCTCCTCTGACGCAAATACTCGTTAATCGACTCGTTAAATCCTCCAATTGATCAATTTCCAAGAAACTCTTAACCGAATCGAGCGCACGGATCGACGAGTGCACGCGAAGATCGTTCGCCGAGCGAATTAGCATCGCGCGAAAGGAAAGTCACTTTTAATTTTCCCGCCACGTTCGCCGCGTGGAAACTCGATTTGCCGTGGTCTTTGTCGTAGAACGCAACGTGATAGGCAACCAATCGAGTGTGAGCAAGTTCGACGCGGGCAGTGAACAGGCGCGCGATTCAAAGAAGAGGAGAGAGAGAGAGAGAGAGAGAGAGAAAAAGACTTGAAACGTGAAAGTACGCTTGCGAAATCGCGAAGAGGATATATATATATATATATACGTATACATATACTATATGTAATCTAATTCTAACGGTAACGTGGATACCGTTTCTGTGGCCCGTTGCCAAAACAAACCGAACGCGCGTTAATTGCCGCTAATTATTCGATGAGTTCGTTAACGGCGATCCGTTTTCGCGATATGGGCCGTCCGTGGTGGCCCATCCACGTGGCGGAATTTCGCGGCAGAAATTCCGTCTGAATTAAAAAAACCGAGAAATACGTTTGCTCGTTTTCACGCGATCGGGTCGGGTATTTGAATTTCGGTTGCCACGCTCACCTCTGTGAACGTTTATCGTATCCGAGCGTGAATGGGGTGGAGGAAGTGTATTTTCCCTGTATTTTTCGGATTTTGTCGAGTATTGTTCTCTTTTTAATTCATGGGTATCACGGGAGAGTGTCGAAGAGTGTTTAGCGATGGAGGAATATTTTATTTTTTCGAGGGGAAATTATGTTTGGATAGATAATAAAATTGATAGCGAGGAATTTGAGCAGATAACGCGGGCAGATTGATAACAAAACGAGCGGGATTGCAAGTTTTTTGTTTGCCGTTTTATGACAAAAGCAACGATGGAAGGAAGGAGGAATTTAAATTGGTATTAATACGTTGTATCTATTATATTCTTTCTTTTTTTTTTTTATTTTTTGACCTATCTTTGTATTTTGTTTGTAACGAAAATATTGTAACGGTATATTTGAAGAATATAAAGATACAAAAATGGGTTTTAATTAAACGATATTATTTGCGCGATGACCTAATGGAATGACTATCTCCTGCATGCTATCTGAATTTTCAATGCGCGTTTCCGTACGATTTACATAGAATGAATGCACAACTTTAAAATAGTAATAAAATTTTAATTTTTACCACGTGGAAAGGAAGAAAACGAAAACAATGAATAGAATTCTGCGACCTGCAAAAATAAACATAGCAAAAATTAAACAAACAATTTAATTAATATATACTATATATATATATAAACGTTTATATATTCTTCCGAATATTCAGCATAAAAATATATAAAGAGAAAAGATTAGATCATACAACAAATAAAACGATAAATCGTTTATCTTCTTCTCTGAGAGAATCCGGTAAAGTGAAATCCATGAGCAGAATAATGATCAAAACTCGTCATTTTGAAAATTTGGCATCAGTTCCATGATCATACATCTCTTTCCATAGAAATGTAACAAGCACCGAGTACAAAATTTATTCATGGACATTGCACAACTCTGAAATAACAATAAAACGAAAGCAACTCTTCAAAATAATCCACAATCAC